CAACTAGTGATTCAATTCACTTGATTTTAGATTCATTAGATAGATCTCGATTTTCTCTTTCAAATGAATGTAAATTTATTTGTATAGCTTATTTCTATGAAGAATTATCAATGATTTTGTCATGAGAGTTATATTTGATCTTTTATATTTTAATGATATCTTATATTAAAAAAAAATTAAAAATTATATAATTAATTAGTTTTTTTTGCATTATCTTGTATAAATTTATTATTCTTATATAAATGATAATTTATATTTGCTTTAATAAAATTATTTTTGTGTAAAAAAATTAGATTCCAAGGATCGGCCCATATGAATTTTAAATGTCTAAACTATTTCGGTTTAGTCAAATGACTAAATATTTCGGTTTTGCCCAGGATCTCTATATAGTATTCTTATTTTTGAAATAATAAGAAAATTTTTTACACGTCGATCACGTAATTTTTTATTTCACTGAAAAAAATTGCAAAATTGATATTATTATCGTAAAAAAAATTATAATTTTAAGAAATATTATCAAATAAAATTATAATTAACACTTTCTAACATTAGTTCATTCAATTTTGCAGTAATTTTGCGATCAGTTTTGCAATTTGGTTTTATCATTCAGTTTTGCAGTCAGTTCGATTTTAGCTGAAAATCACAGGTTTAAACCTGAAATCAAACTGAACTGACCATTGGCATCCCTAAACCTAACAGGTTGACCTGAATTTATTAGGTCAGGTTTAGCAATTGCATTTCAGCATCAGTTCAGGTTGTAACATAAATATAACCTAAATGACCTGTTGACCTGAAAGGCTGAAACTATAATTTTATATAATATAAGTGAGTTATGGTATTATAATTCATTTTTTATATTAATAAAAGTGAGTTGTAATATTGGGATTCACTTTTTTATATTAATTCTATATATAAAAAGTGAATTGCAGTAACAGAATTTATTTTTATATTGATTTTATATATAAAAAGTAAATTGCAGTATCAGTATTCACTTTTTTATATTGATTTTATATATAAAAAGTAAATTGCAGTATTAGAATTCATTTTTTTTTTATATTGGTTTTATATAAAAAAAGTTAGTTGCGGTATTGCGATTTACCTTTTAATACGATTTTAATATAAAAAAGTGAATTGCATTATTTCAAAAAAAAAATGTTTTGCACTATTTTTTTTTGATATTTTAATAAAAATCCGAAAATTTTCAGGTTTCAGTTTAGGTCAGGTCAAACAGATAATCTGATATAACCTGACCTGACCTAATCTAAAAAAAAATTTCAGGTCAGATTTATCAATTAATCTGATTTGATCTGACCCATTTGGAACTCTAGTCAAACTGGAATCAAATAAAGGAAATGTTATAAAATTTATAGTTATTTCTCAAAATGTTATTTAATATTAAAAGATTAATTAAATTTTAATTAGCTAATTTAAAATTTTTTTTTTATTATAATTTATGTAAAAAAATATATTTTAACTTATAATTTAAATACAAATAATTTTATTTATTTATAAAGTAAATTTATTTTTAATTTGAAATTCTTAAATTTTATTTAATTAGTCAATTTTTTATTAGCTAATTTATTACTATATTTTTGCAAAAGTTTTATAATTAATATTCCTTATTTTCTTTTATTAAAAACTTTTTATTTTCTTTATTTATTTATTTATTTTTAGAAATTTTAATTATATTTGTATTAGTAAAACCAGTGAATGTAAATTCCTTAATATAGACTGATCTTCAAATGGTTATCAGAAGACTTTTTTATATCAGGTACACATTATAGTACTGAATTAAATCTAATCTAATTTAACATTAAGTTCACTACAGTTTGCAATTATCTAGTATTAATAGTACAATTAAATCTCTAATAATATAATAATAATTACCAGAACAGTAAGTCTAAAAGTAATGTAAAATTATTCTTTACAATGGTTATTTATCACTAAAATCACTAACTAGCATTCAAATAGTAAGAATTAAACTTTAGTCTCATCTTACATGTCCATTAATTCACAAATACCTTAGGTTAATCTAAACTTTACTATTAGATTTTCTGCCTAAATTTATTTGGAATTTGGCTAAATATTTAAATTTTGATTTCATTAGTTTTTTAATAAGACTTTAATATAGTTTCATTAAGTTTTACCCTTTTGTTATTTCATTAATTTACTGAATTTCTTAATTTTAATAAATAACCTTATTTTCTATTTATAAAAACTATTTAATATTTAATAATACTTCTAGTAATATTATAAAATAACAGGATTCTACTTACTTATAAGATAAATTACCCTTAAACTTAAAGTAAAAATCATATATAAAATTCTTTACAGTATATTTCTTATATTATATCAACATATGATGATCTGCATAATTTTGGTTAAACAAAGTAGTTAGATAATAATGGCCATTATTTGTACTTACTTTTTTAAAAATCTTAAAAAAAAACTTTTTCTAAAAACTATTTAAAAATTTTTTTTTTTTTTGTTAATTTAAAATATAAATGGCTTTTTTTTTTTCAAAAAAATGGCTTATTAACAAAAAGATAGCTATTATTTGAATATTATTATATATTATTAAAATTATTAATATATTTTAATGATACTTTAATGTGATTTCTGACAATTCTTTAAATATAAATTTTTTTTGCAATACTCTATATTTATTTTCTATTTTCTCTATTTTTTTATTAATATACTAATCTGTCATTCATTTTTAAAAGAAATTCTATTTTTAAAAGTATATTGGCCAAATTTATATTTATCTTAATAATCTTATTAATCAGAACAAACTTTTTTCTTGCTAATTGATAATTTATTTGTAAATTTTAAGTTTCATTAGAATTATGTTAAATACCCAGATGATAGATAACAGCAGATTTTATACAATTTATAGTATTTATATTATGGCAGATTCCATGATCTATGATCTCATTAATTTACTTTCCATTGTTATAATATGCGAATTATCAACAGATTATTAATTTTTTGGTGCATCAATGTAATACTATCAGAACTCGGAACTTTTTTAAATTCCAAAAGTAACATTTTCAGCAGTTAATCTTAAAATTCGAACTCTTCGCGGAATTGATTTACGTCTGATCCAGAACGAATTTTATCAGCCAAATCTTTTCGTTCCTAAAAATTTTTAGTTAATAAATTATATATATAAAATATAACAATTATTAAATTCATACCATCATTAAAAATGTCCTATTGAGTGTTTCGCGAAGGCTATTACTAGTATTAACACCACTGTCACCGTTTAAACCAGTTTGATGCATACTCAATGCGCCAAGTAAATGTTCCGCTGCTTCACGATAACATCCTATGTTTAAACAGCTTACTCCTAAATTATATCTTGCTCGTACAAACGTTGGTTTAAGATCTAAAGCCTTATGATAAGCTTCAATTGCATCTTCGGGACGTCCCGAATTCGCCAATGTAGCCCCTAAACGATTCCATAAAAGATAATCCTGTTTCATTTGAATTTGAAATAAGATTTTTAACTTAATAATTGATAAAATCCACAAAAATTTAAATTTTCTTACATCTTTTCTTGTATTTAAAGCTGTAACAAAGCAATCAACAGCCTTTTCGTATTCACCACTACCATAAAATAATACCCCCAATCCAACTTGTACATCAGGATCCATTCCTTGACCTTCTGGAGCGCTACGAGCTGCTTGCAAGAAAAGATCTGTTACACGTGAATGTGTATTCACTCCGTGCATTGGTGCATTAGATATTGCAATATTAGGATATTTAGCAATTAACCATCGCTCAAGCGTAAGATAAGCTTGATGATCACAACCTTCATTTGTGTAACTTACTGCTAGACTCTAAACAAATAGAAAGTATTACATTAACTCGAAACGAAATCTAATTACGAATTTTAACTTACCATTAGGGCAGTGAGATTATTACCATTAACCTCTACAGCTTTTTGCAATGCTCTAATAGCTGCTTCCTCTTTTTCATTTTGAGCTTGTGTGTTACCCAACCACATCCATGCGTCTGATATCTTTTCGTCTTTTTGAACTGCAGCTTCAAATGCCAAAGCAGCTTCGGATAATGAACCACCTTCTTCCATTAATCTCATTCCTTCTTGAAAAGGATTTGCGTGTTTTAAATAAGGATTATTAGGTTCAAATATATAATCGCCAAATTCACTTTCCCAGACTTTTGGGTCTAAATGTTCATCGTCATCTGATTGTTCTCGAAAATTTGACTTTGACCAAACATCTTCGAATAATTGAAGATCATTATCTAACTTAAAATTTTCATTTTCCACTTCATGTTGCACGGCGGCGAATTGTTCTTCCCAAGAATGATAATCTAGTTCTACTATTTTTTCCTTGTTTTTCCCTTTATCATGTTTTAATACATATTCGTTAGCCCAATCAAAATTCTTTTGAAATGCCTCCTCAAATTCCGGTGGCATCTCAGTGATTTGACTGACTGGAAAGTCTGGTCCATGTAAAAATTCACTATTCCATTTAGCTAATAAAGTTATGATGATGAATTAATTACTATTTAAACAATTCTGAATAGCATTCTTTAATAAAAATAATCATAACTGTACAATGAACATTCATTCTTGTAAATGCTTCTTCCATCTCTGCTTCTTCGGCAGATCCAAGTTTCCATAACTGTGAATGATCCGATATATTTTTAAATTCCGCTGTCCACTCTAAGAATTTTCAAGAATTAGGTAAAAGAAATGAATTGAGAAATATGGTGTTTTTTTTTATAAAATACCTTGATATGGTGCTATAGGACCTTGTAAACGTGCATGTTCTTGCTGATTAAAAAAGTCTTCAGCAAGCTAAAAAGAAAATTTCAAACAGCAAATTAATTATAAGTTTAAATAAAATTAATAAAAGGATTTAACCAACCTTATTTTCTTGAGAACTAGTACCGGGTCTAGCTGTGCGAAACTATTTAGCAGTACGCAAATCGAATTACGAAGCGAAAAAAGAAAAAAAAATAAAATGAAAAAAAATTGCCTACAACTTACTGAGCTAGGATCAATTCTTTCTGAGCTCGATATTAATGTATCCTTAATTTTTACCCAAAAATACAAGTTAGATTCAAATTGCAATTTGATTTTTTAGGAAAAAAATAAACCACCTTTTGCAACGAACGGTCGTCAGTGAATTGCTTCATTATTTGAGACATTGAGTTAGAACCTGTGGAGCATTCAGCTCCGGTAATCATACTTTGAAACGCCATTCTTAGTGATCTATCAAATTGTTATAAATTTGTTTTAAGATGAATCGTTCTAATTCAAGCTGAACTTTTTAATTACATAATACTGTTACTCAACATTACATATTTGAGTGACGTAACAAGTTCAAACTGTTCAAACATAGCATAAATTAATCTTCTCGCATTCAAAGAAACGCTATCGTTAATGGATTACCAACGCCAATTACTTGAGGAGCTGATGGCTCCCTTTGAGAGATCTAATAAACACAACTTCTGGGATGATTCTGTTTGTAAACACTTTTTAGTTAAATTTTGTCCCAATTCTCTATTCACCAATACAAAGTCTGACCTTGGTAGGTGTCATAAGGTATTATATCTGTTTTATTTGAATATTGGGATTTGTCATTCCAACTTCTATATGCTTATTATATAGGACCTTGTACCAAAGTTCACGATGAAAAGTTAAGGAAACAGTATGTGTTCATATTTGAAAAATACATTTTTATCGTTTTTCATAGTTTTCATTCGTTTTTCTTTAGATATCAAGAAGCACCAGATCGTACAAAATATGGTTATGAAATTAAATTTTACGATTATTTGCAATCATTGTGCAATGATTTGGACAAAAAAATTAGGAAAGGAAATGATCGATTAAACGTTCGTCCAGACGACACAGTACGTAAATAAATTTCACTTTTCAATCACATTTCAATTATTTTTGCATTTTCTTTTAAATTATCATATTGTATGAAATTAGCTCTTGAATCCAAATAAAGATGAAAAGGAAGAGAAAATGATAATTCTGGACGAAAAGATTAAAGAATTATTAGTGAAGGTAATTTATTATTATAACTATTGATGATATCGAGCAATATATTCTAATTAATTAATTATTATTATTAAGATTGAGGAGGCAGGGGAAGAAGGACGTGTACAAGAAGCTCAGATTTTAACCAAAGAAGTAGAAACACTTCAAAAAGACTTGGATTTCTTAAAGAACGTAAGTATAGTGAGTTGATATCAACATATTTTACAGGACAAGCGAGGAAAGAGAAATCGTACATGGGACTTGGCAAACAGACTTGATACCCCGAGGTAACTCTAACGTATAGCATGTGGTTTATGAAATCTAAATGGATAATATATACGTTCTCATGAGAGCGTCCCCAAAAGCTAACTTTTCCATAGCATTTTTTTTCGCCATCATTGGAACAATTCGCAAACAATATTTTTACTTTCTTTTATCTGAAGCTTTTTACCCGATTTGATTACACAGTGAAAGTTATATCCAGGAGAGACATATAATCGGTAGATTTTCACATTTCGTTTCTTCTCCCTGTTCACTAACCTTTTTCATTTTAAATCAATTCCATGAAAACCAATCCGGTCCCTCCTTTCTGATTTGAATAACACAGAGCGATGACTCAAACCCATTATTTAAACAAGAAAGAAGAATGTTAGTTTGTGAAGTATGCGGAGCTTTTTTAGTTACAAATGATACATCCAACCGTATGGATGCTCATTTACAAGGGAAGCAACATACAGGTTATAAGCAGATTCGTGAAACTCTTCATGAATGGAAGGTAAGGATTTGATGCGCAACTTACAAAAATATTTAATATTTTTTCGTTTTGTGTTTGTCTTCTTTGTCAATCTCATTGGTAAGCCTCATTCAGCAAATGCGAGCATATTCGTCCCGGGATTCACATCGAGGAGATCATCGACGGGATTCATATAGTAGACATGAACCATATCCTCGTAATCATCGTAGGGAAAAACATAAGGACAAAGATTACCGACGGGATGATTACCAGGATCGAGATTATGAAGATTATGGACGTAGAAGAAACAGCAAAGAATATCGACGAGACAGGATTGATAGAGGGCGTCGATATGATGATTAAAACCTTACAGGTAGTTTTCAACCAAATTATTATACGTTTAACCAGTTATCTATAGAACCTCATTGGTCTGAAGTACAAAGGTAATTTCGCGCTGGATCGTGTTAACTAACATTCAAGAAATATACTTATAGATTATGATCATTTTCTTTATTTCAAAGCAAAATAATAAATTTTGAATATATTATTTATAACACAAAGAGGAGTAATAGTAAATTTTAAATATGATTTTTGTAATTAAAGATTTCATTTGTTGATTTTACAAACGTTAAAGAATTAATTATGTTACCCTTTTCTTCGCAATTCTCGACGTTTTTCCAACTGTAAGGAAAAAAATAAATTTTATATGGAAAAAAATTAAACATATATAAGGTATATAAAAACTTACCCATTTTTTTTTACATTCACGATACAGGATAAATAAATCTTTACACTTTCCTTTATCATAATTATTTCTATCCAAACATTCCATTGAATTTAAGCTTTCTTTTTGACAAGGATCTAAAAATTTTGAAGAATTTTTTTCTCTGAAACTTTTGCTAATGTCATGATTTTGTGTTTCATTCATTTTTTTTTTGAGCTTTATTAATAAAAGAGTGTGCTGACACCTTATAGAATTGCCAGACTGAAATACTGTGTCGATCCTTAATTAATCCGAATGCAATTTATTGGGTGAGTGTTAACTTACAGAATGGAAACTGACGAAATCAATGAAAGAACTTCAAATAAAGGTATTTTTACAAGCTATTTAGTTATATGACAAGTCAGTATTTAATTCCAATTTTTAGGAGAAAAACGTAAGCTCAAAGTCATTTTAGAAAATGACAAGTCTTCGGAACAAACTCCTTTTATAGGTAATTGTTTTTTAAATTTCAATGCACCCTAACGATTTTAATTTACATTTTGTTTTTTTACTTTATTTCCTTTCATAGGAAAGTTTACTGGGCTTTCTCCGGCACCAAAAGAGCTTTTATATCATGCTTATGAAAGAGCAGCTAATGGCCATATAAACATTGTTGGAGAAAACGAAGCTGTTTCACTTGAATCGACTGTTCAACCAATTAAAATGAATGAGTAAGTGATTTATTTAGGTGAAATAATTAAAATTTAAACAGTTTTGATCTTATAACAAATATTTGTGTCAAAGATACCTTATCGCTATATATGATAAACATTCAAATACGGTGACCTTTCGAGATGCAAGTGAAATAGAAATAACCCCTGTTCTGAAGCGCTTAAGGACCGAGCAGCCTAAAGAGTCAGAACTGATCCAAGATGTAGGATTGAATTACGATAACTTTTCATATTTTTTATATTTATTCTAAGATTTACATTATTAATTAATTATCAATGTGCTAATTTTAATTAGTATTATACAGCAAAGACGGCTCTTAATAAAGAGTTTGGATCAAAGAAAGCTCGGTTAAAGATTGTCACGCGAGAGAGAGGAGAAATTGACGCGTCGCAAGTACGAGACCTTGATAAGATTGCAACTGAAGTCGATGAAAAGGTCAAGACAAGAGCTATTGGTAGTGTATATTATTAATGTGTTTATAACTCGATGTTCATTGTTTCTCAATAATATTCGAATGCTTTATATTTGTATAATGGTAGAGGGACAAGAAGTTATGAAAGAGGAGAGCGGCATTATTCCTACATACGATGCAATTACAACGGATCCATCTAAGATTTATAAATTGGAGGATATCGTCACTCCTGCAGAATATGACGCAATTGATATTCAAGATTTACTTAAAGCAAAGACCGAAAAAGATAGATTAACACTTTTACCATATTCGTACGTATTATGCTATGCAGTTGATTTATTATAAATAATCTAATTTCATTTTTTTTTAATAGGAACTCAAATTACGTTAAATCACGTCTCATTCCTTCATTAACGGTCAGAAAAGTAAACCATAGACGTATTAAAATGCTCATGTATATAAATTACATGATGGCTTTTCGGTCACATGCTTTTGGTAATGTTCGAAACCGTAAACTTATGGCTGAGGGATTGAGGAATCCTCCAAATATCATTTTAGACAAATTATATGAGCGCTTCGTTGATCGTACTTTTACAAAATTTGGGGGAAATGAAAAGTAAGTAGATTTTTTATTATATTAATCGGGTCTTAGTTCAATTTAAATAATTTTTTATTTGGAAATTAGTTTCAAGTTTACTTTGAAGAACGATCAGAAATTAATCTGTTATATGTTGGTTCTATGCTTGAAGCTTGATGATAATTATGTGAATCCTGAGCCAATAAGTGAAGATTTAGGCATTACAACAACCAAGTAATTTATTTATAATAGATATTGTATATTTTAAATTAATTTATATATTAACTTAAATTTTTATTTAGACTCAATGTTTTATTCAAAGGTATTGGTTGTTCAATTCGTACCTTGAGTAAGAAAGAAATGACTGAACTAGGAATTACCAAAGAGTATGGTGCCAAACGTGCTGTATTGACTGCGCCTCTCAAACTTCCTGAACATAAAAGAGGATCTCGGAAAAAAAATAACTTTTAACTGGAAATCTTGAAATTTACAATTGATTGGTTTAGTAATTTCTTTCATTAATATTGAATTGGTATATATCAGATAATTATGGAAGTTTCGATTGATAGAAAATTCCTTTTTCGGGCAATTTATTTTTTGTATCTATCTAAAATCTTATTATTAGATTTTAATGCCACCCCTATCTTTTGTGATTTCGGTTCGCACGGTTTACTAACTCTAAAGCAATTTTTCTCCAGATCTCAAATATGATGGTTTTAAATTATACAAGACGAAAGATCGAGCAATAGATAAACAAAAAAAAAAATAATTGACTGTCCTTAATTATGTGGTTGAGCCTGTTATTCCTGTTATTATTGCTGTTGTTTATCATCAATATATACCTGCGATTCCTGTTTTACATTATCAAACATTTCGAAATGATATTATAATAATAATATTAACAATTTTTTGTTTTGTATTTTGATGAAAATTTTTGGAAAAAAAAGTTAGCTAGTAGTTATTTAATTGTACAATCAATAAAATTATTAAAATTATTAGATAACAAAATCAGATGAACCAAAAATTGGATCTGTTATTTATTATTAATTATCGTTAAATTGTGTTAAATTATTACAGATTGATACAAAAAATTCCATTACTAATTACAAATAGAATAATTTCAATACTAACGTTATTTGCATTTATTAATACAATGCATATTTTTAAATATAATAATAAAAAATGAAAAATGCAAATAATGTTTGAAAAATTTCATTTCATTTTTCTTTTTGATTATCACCGTCGAGAAATTGAGCGTGATCTTGATCTTCTTGACCGACGTTCCTTATCACGGTCTCTTTCTTTTTCCTTTTCTTTGTCTCTCTCTCTATCCTTCTCTCTTTCTCTTTCTTTTTCTTTATCCCGATCTCTAAGATCTCTGTCTCTTTCTCTTTCCTTATCCCTCTCTCTATCTCTATCTTTATCCCTTTCTCTTTCTTTATCCCGATCCCTATCTCTCTCTCTATCTCTATCCTTATCTCTTTCTTTATCTCGATCTCTTTCTTTATCTCGATCTTTATCTTTATCTCGATCCCTATCTTTATCTTTTTCTTTTTCCCTTTCTTTATCCCGATCTCTATCCTTATCTCTATCTCTCTCTTTATCCCTATCCCTATCCCTATCTCTCTCTTTATCTCTTTCTCTTTCTCTATCTTTATTTCTTTCTCTCTCCCTCTCTTTATCTCTTTCTCTCTCTCTTTCCCGTTCTCTATCTCTATCCCTATCTTTATTTCGTTCTCTCTCCCTCTCTTTATCTCTTTCTCTCTCCTTCTCTTTATCTCTATCTCTTTCTCTGTCTCTATCTCTATCTCTATCTCTATCTCTATCTCTATCTCTATCTCTATCTTTATCTTTTTCTCTGTCTCTGTCTCTGTCTCTGTCTCTATCCCTATCCTTATCCTTATCCTTATCTTTATCCTTATCTCTTTCTCTATCCTTATCTCTTTCTTTATCTTTATCCCTATCCCTTTCTCTTTCTCTATCCTTATCTCTTTCTCGTTCTTTATCTCTACCTCTATCTCTTTCTCTATCCTTATCTCTTTCTCTATCTCGATCTCTTTCCCGATGATCTCTCTCTCTCTCTTTATCTTTTTCCTTATCCCGATCTCTATCTTTGTCCCTGTCTCTATCTTTATCACGCTCTTTATCTTTTTCCCTATCTTTTTCTTTATCGCGTTCCTTTTCTTTTATATCTCGTTCTCTATCTCTGTCACGATCTCTTTCTCTATCCCTCTCTCTCTCTCTTTCTTTTTCTCTTTCTTTATCCCTGTCTCTATCCCGCTCTTTATCTCTATCTTTATCTTTATCCCGTTCCTTTTCTTTTATATCTCGATCCTTATCTCTGTCACGATCTCTTTCTTTATCTTTTTCCCTCTCTCCGTCCTTTTCTCTCTCATTTTCATCTTTATCTTTACTGTTCTCCTTTTCACGGTCTTTCTCCTTGTTGATTTCCTTATCACGATCTTTTCTTTCCTTATCACGATCCTTTCTTTCCTTATCGCGATCCTTTTCACTCTCTCTTTCCCTATCACGTTCTTTTTCCTTTTCTCTTTCCCTATCGCGATCTTTTTCTTTTGCGTCTCTTTCTTTATCTCTTTCTCTGTCTCTATCACGACGATCTCTATCACGATCTCTTTCAAGAATCCTATCTCGATCCCTGTCCCTATCTCTAATTCTATCCCGATCACGGTCTCGATCACGATCACGATCACGATCCCAATCGCGTTCTCTATCACGATCTCTACCCCGATCCCTATCTCGATCTCGATCTCGTTCCCTATCACGTTCCCTTTCTCTATCTCTTTCTCTAATATCGCGCTCTCTCTCTCTATCTCTTTCACGATCTCTTTCTCTGTATCGATCGCCTACTTAAATAAAAGAATTAATAAAATATTCCAAAAAAAAATAATTGTTTTAAATAATATTAATTTGTCAAACCTCTAGAACGACTTCTTCGTCGTCGATAATAAAAATCTACATTAATAAATGTTGCTGTTATCTACAATAATTAAAAAATTATTAGGATAATTGAAAACGTACCTCTAGACCTTGATCTACTTCTTGTTTTTCGTCTTCTAGCTTTACTTCTACTTCTTGTTCTTGACCTAGTTTTACTACGTCTGATAGACCTAGAGCGGCTACGAGCTGATATAACTTCTTTAGTGGGCGATGTCGCATCTCGCATTTCTACATCCTGTTGAATAGATGCTGAAGGAGATTCATTGTCGGGAGTAGTGCCATCAGTATTTAATCGGTTTGCAATTCTTAATTGAGCCTCCCTGACACGACGCATAGTTGCTTGCACGTCCGGAGCATCAGTCTTTTTTGGTGTCTTGTTGATTGCATTTTTTGAATGGTTCACCCTAAGATAAAAAACATTTAACCCTAAAAGAATAGACACAATATTTTATTGACTTGAAAATAAACATACTTTAAAGGACGATCTCCAAGCATGACCCCATTCATTTGCATGGCTGCTTGTGCACCTTCATAAGTAGCAAATTCCAAAAATGCAAACCGAGTTGGTTGAGCAGGATCGCCCGCCATCTTTACATACGCAACCGGACCACAAGCAGAGAAAAACTGAGTCAATTCAGGTTCAGAAATCGAAGAGTTAATATTACCAATATATACAGTTCTAGAAATTTCTTCAGCTTTAGCAGGGTCGAATTGAGCAACAGTTGGTGAAATAGCCGGATTAGACCTAATCGCTGCAAGAGAATTAGATGAAAAAGGAGGAAGAGCTAGAGGAGGAATAATAGGTTTAGGAGGAATAGATTGTGGAGTTTTCGAAGTTTGTGGTGGTCTAGGAGGAGATATTGATGGAGGTATAGGGGGTAATGAAGGAGGTATAACTGGTGGTTGATATGAAGTATTATGTATACCGGCAGGTGCTGTAGTTGATGAAACCATCAATGTGCGATCACCTAATTCCACACCAGTTAGGTGAAGGGCCGTTACTGCTGCTGATGCTTCTTTGAATTCTATAGTGCATTCTTGTACACCGTCACCGTGAGGACTAAACAAGTTTTAACTAAAGTTAAAAAAATTTCTTTCTTTTTTTTTAATAATAAACAGAAATATATTGCAGTTAATTAGATATGATTAATACCTGTTGTACAATTTGATTGTTGTAACTTCACCCAAGAATTCAAACAATTGTTTCAATACTGGTTCAGTTACAAGAGGAGAAATGTTTGCGACCTTTGCGAATAATAACATAATAAAACCGATCAATGAAAGTTCTAATGATTATTTATTTAAATACTTTATATATTTTACCTTTACAACGTTGTCAACTGACATCGTTGACATCGTTGAATAGTTCCCAACTTTCGACAGAAGTATTCATTTTTTTTATTGCGATGTACCATGTGCATCATCAGAATTCGTAAGACATTTCTCTACACGTGACTTCATATAATGAACTGATTTACCCCAGTATCACCGTCACTTTTCTACCCCCACGTGATTTTTTGTGGCGCATCAGCCTCATTTGCTTTTTTGCGTAACATTTATCTTAGAAAAATTTTAATTGCAAAATTTTTCACTTCTCGCACTTTTAAAATATTAAAAAATTAAATTTTCATACTTAAATTTAAAGTATAAAAAATATTGATTTCTTGCTCTTAGAATTTGTTTTTAAATTTAATAAAAAAATTATTTGATAAGTTCGTTTGATTTTTACTTGGAAATTTATGTCTGCTTATTTATTAATAAAATAAAACGCGTAACCCATAAAATAAATATAATAAATAACACCTAAATAAATATAAAAACGCGCGTCTCCTATGTCTCCTGATAGATATAATAAAGCAAATACAATAAATAACACCGTATCTACTAATAAAATAAATATAATAAATAACACCTAAATAAATATAAAAACGCGCGTCTCCTATGTCTCCTGATAGATATAATAAAGCAAATACAATAAATAACACCGTATCTACTAATAAAATAAATATAATAAATAACACCTAAATAAATATAAAAACGCGTCTTCTCCTAACTCTTAACTCTCCTAATAAATATAATAAAACAAGTATGATAAATAACCTAAATAAATATATAAACGCGCGCGTTGCCTAAAGAGATTTAAAAAATGTATATTGCTCTTATATTGTTACAAAGTATAATTATAACTCCACAAATATGTAAAATAATTCAATAAAAATAATTATTTGAGTAATGCTATACTTGTTAAGACTTTATTTAGCCTTCAAAGAATGACCAAAGTACCAAAATTACACTCTAATCTTTGTATAAATAAGATAAACAAATAAAATAAAAAACAGTTAATATAGTAGTTAAAAATAAACCAACAATAAATTTTATACTTAAATAATTATTTAAACTCGATATTTACAGCTTTTTATAAAATTTTTGTCTGACATTAAAGAAAGAAAGAGAAAAAAGAAGAAAGAAGTTACGAAAGTTACAAAATCACTGTTGTTAAACGTAATAAATAAATAAATCAATGAGGCTGATGTGGCACAAAATCACGTGGGGGTAGAAAAGTGACGGTAATACTGGGGAAGATAATGAACTGTAGCTTTCACGTGTTAATGCATAACGCCATAATGCAGGCGACAAGCTTTTTTTTTTGAGCGGTCTGATCATTTTTTGTTAATTGAGCTTTAAAACTCATTTCTCAATTCTTACTAAATAAAAAATAAAAAAAAAAAAATGGAGACTCTTATCGGAATGGTAGGCAAAGATTTCGTACTTACTGCAGCGGATACCTCGGCAGCAAGATCTATTACTGTTATGAAGTCTAATGAGGATAAATCTCGAGACCTTAATAAGCATATAGTAATGTTGTATTCTGGTGAACCAGGAGACACTGTACACTTTGCTGAATATATTCAGAGAAATGTTAGGTTTTACGAGATTAAAAATGGAATCGAGTTGACACCTAAGGCCGCTGCCACTTTTACTCGAAAAGAATTAGCTACAAGTTTGAGAAGCCGAGTGAGTATTCTTGTACGTTCATAATTTAAGTTCGCAATAAATTAATATCTTTCAATTTATTTAGCACCCGTACGCCGTTAACCTACTTATTGCAGGCTATGATGTAACAACATTAACATCACAACTTTATTGGATCGATTATCTTGGTTCCTCTATTAGTGTACCTTTCGCTGCTCATGGGTATGGTGCTTATTATACTTTATCGCTCTTGGATAGATATCATCGCCCAGATCTTTCTCTAGACGAAGCAAAAATACTCATTAAAAAGTGTATAGATGAATTAAAATCTAGATTTATCATTAATCTTGCTGATTTTAAGATTAAAGTCGCAGACAAGGATGGGGTTCGCGAAATTGAAATTTAAAATAAATTATATGTTAAGGGTTCTATTACTCATAAATTTTAAGTATTTGTTAGAATAAATTTGTTAAAACATCGATAAGACGCAAATTTATGTATAATAAATATAATATTATTACTTCTTAATGATGATGAATTTGATACAAATAAATAGGTATTATTTACAAATTATTTTTTTTTTTTTGTATGTATGAGCTAAAAAGATAAAAGTTTTTTCGAAATCAATTCAGCACGATCAAAAGCGTTCAAATTTTTATGAGCTACTATTTGATAACAAGTAGCACTTCCTTGACGAGAAATTATAGTCGACCATGCTAAGAAAATTTCCCAAATCCTGTAACGTATAAAGAATTGTTATTAAAATATTTAATATGCATCTGAAAAGTATGTTTACTTACCGATACCATCTAATTAACAAAAAGCAATATAAAAAATTTTTTGAGAATTCAAAATTTTAATATAAATGGAAATAATCATAAACATCAATAAATCTATAGTTTACCTCTTGCCATATTTCGCGGTGATAGTGTCTTTATTTTTGAGCCAATTCTGATACCAGCGCCAGATTGTACCCGAATAATGGACACCAATTGTATCAACACTTTGAATCTCAAACCCTGAAACTTCCAACTTATCAATAACCCATCCCAAAGGACAAGAGGCATCAGCACCAGGAAAAATATATTTGGCCATAAATAATCCCCATATGAAATCTTCGTATTGCCATGTGCTGGATATTAGCAGAGTGGATTAATACATTGCAAGTATTTAAGTTGCCCATATAAAATAACAGCTTACCGCCGTAACCCAGCAATTTGCAAGAAGAACAAACCATCGTCTTCAAGCATGTCTCTAACTTGTTCTAGAAATGTTGTAAAAAGTCTAACACCCACGTGTTCAGCCATTTCAAGACAGGTAATCTTGTGATACTTTGGACTTCTAGGTATATCACGATAATCCATACACTTTATACGAGCTTGTTGTCCGTCGACACCAAACTCTTTAATTCGATTGTTACCGAACTGAGTTTGATTACGACCAAGGGTAATACCAGTAGAATCTACACCGTAATGTTTAGCGGCATATGCTACAAGTGTTCCCCATCCACATCCAATATCTAAATGTCGTTCACCTTCTTTCATACGCATTCTCTCACAAACAAGTTTTAATTTATTATCTTGCATTTCTTCAAGTGTTTCACATTTGTTCTGATCTGAAATAATGCCAGATGTATAAACCATCCTAGGCCCTAAAAATGCAGCATAGAAATCATCACCACGATCGTAATGATCCCTGACTTGTTCTTCATCTTGCTTTTTAGAATGTACCAAAGTTTCAGGTATCCATTGGGTTAAAAAGAATTTAAATTGACCCATTGTAAATTCAAATGAAGCCCAATCATGACGAGATTCAAGGATTTCGAGAGCATCACCACGAAGATCAATTTTTCCATCAAAATAATTCTCAAAAAAAAGTTCCATTGGAATCTTATTACGATTGGAGTAGATAGCTAATGATGAATCTTGTATAATAATATACTCTTCAATTTTTCTGCCTGGAAGTTGAACCTTGTTGTTATATGGAGCGGAGTATTTTGAGGATAAATAAAAATAGCCAGCGAAAATAGGCAAACCAAGAGGTAATAAGAAAGGATAAAACAATAAACTCAAGCGAAAGTATATAATAAGAAATAAAGGACCTCCTAAAACTATTCCAAAAAGTGTATAAGAGCTGAAGGTTTGGTTACCAGCTCCTTCAGCAGGATATGGTGGATTTTTTATGGCAGCCCAGTTTTTGAGTTTTAAACCGCTGGTTTCTGACGTCATCTATTTAGAGAAAAATTATTAGAAAGTTGTAAGAAAAGTTACCTTATATAAGTTGTTATATCATACTTTAGTTTTTTTTTTTTTTTTTGCAAGATGAACCTGGTTTTTTTTTAAAAAAAAAAGCTTATTAATATAAATAATTTTGAGATCTCGGCGATTTTCGGCATCTAAATTCTAAGTCACAGGAGTCCGGCTGTACATTTTTCTATTCGTTCCGTGACAGAATTTAGCGTCTACAAAAACTATAAAAAAAAGTTTTTTGGTCAAAATTTCAAATGAGTAACCCACATTGTGATTTGAAGCAGAGTATTGATTGGCCAAAGATTTTTAAATCTGAAAGATGGGCTGAAATATGAAATTTACTAATAGCCTTCTAAAAAACGGAAGTAAACTTGTATAAATTCATCTTGGGTTTGGATAACTAATTCAATAATTATTATGATCATTTCAAGATTTTTTTAGACGGCCCGGCCTCTTTTGAGAATCGTTTTTTTTTTTCGATTTTTCGATTATAAAACGGCATTTATAAAATCGACTTTTTTATAATGAAGTTGGATTTTCATTTTAATCCAGGCCAAAATTATTAACCGCTTTTAAAAAGCAAACTGATACTGATGACTAGCTGTGCTAGAGTAATGTAAATCCGTTTATCTGTTATGTTAATCATTAGTCAGAATATTTTAATTTAGAGAGTAAGTTTTGGTATTTTAGTTGCCTTTTATCGTAGCGGGTTAATAATAAGAGGTACTTTTTCCTGATTAGTGTTTTGTGTGTCGTTCTACACATTTGTTAAGGTATTGATTTATTATAAGTTCTCATGAGGTTCCTGACTTGAGATCATCAAAACACTTGCAACGTATATTCTTATTAGGTTGGATCTTCATATACGAAAAAGGAAAAAGTTCGTTGTAAATTTAATATCTTAGATCTTAGATTTAGAGTAGGTAATCTATTCTATTTAGACTTAGATTAGTATCGATTCTGTATTATATATTCTTTCGCCCCATAAGAACCCATGTCATTTATATAGTTTTTTTATCTTTTTTGTAATAATAAATAAATAAATACTGTATGTAGGTTTAATTTGTTTTACCCCTTGTGAATGTGAAAATTAAATGGCTTGTATATGATTTATTGAATGAACTATTATATTAACCTATTGTCCCATATTATGGCTTTTTTTTCACTCCCAAAAAAAAAAAACTTTTTTTTTTCAAAAACTAGCTTTTACCTTGTAAATTGTATTATTTCGTTCTATATTAAGAATTTTTCTGCATAATCAAACACCTTGAGAAAAAAAAATGTTTAATCTGAAACAATATTACATATTAAAAAAATTTTTTTTTAAAACTGTCTTTACTTATTTTAAGTTTAGCTATAGGCCTATAGCAAAGAATAATACTGTAATAGTTAATTGATAATGCCTGCAAAAAAAAATTGTATTGTATATCTGTATAAAATAATATGATTAACATTGTAAATTACTAATATTCTTAACTAATGAATACTATTAAAATTATATGCAACTATTAGTACATTTAATTTAAAATATTTTTTTAAGTAAAATACAAATAAAATTAACTTTTTTTAACACATTTTTTCACATTTATTAAGTGAAATAATATTGTGGTATTTTTCTTAAATAGTTGCTAGTATGTTTGTGCAGTTTTTGAATTCTAATCATTTTTTAGGATTAATTGTAACTTTCCAAATATAATTAAGGATACCAAGATAATAAAAATAAAATGAATAGTTGTGAAGTCTAATAGAGATGTGATGCATAAAAAGGTGTGGAATACATTACACTAATAATATACTGTACATAATAGTATATATATAATTTTTTTAAATATATGAAATATACAATATAAGAATTTTATTATACAGTAAAAAATTTTTTAATTTAAAAAAGATTTGGATGCAATTAATAATCAATTATAATTTTTAAGTTTTAGATCATTTTAATATTCACCAGAAATAAAATTCATCAGAAATGATTTTTACTGTATCATATAATTTATAATTATTACATTAAAATTTGTTTTTTAAAAAAAATACAATTTTTGACATAATATTATATAATTAAAATACAATCAAATATAAATTACATTTCACAAATTAAATTATATTGTATTACAAAGTCATGTAATATGAATTTAATTTATTTATAACAATAAAAGTATTTTTTTCTTTCGCAAACTCTCTGTTAGTCTTTCCATCAGTTTTCCCATCAGTTTTTTAAGTTAGGTAAACTAAATAGTTTTGAAAATATATATAGTAGTTTTTTTACTTTATATACAAGTAGTAGTTCTCTTTTTTTTATTTAAAAGTTTTTTTAATATTCTGTAAAAAAACAATACATTATTCAATAGAAATATTTAAGAAATCATAATTAATAGTTTTAAGTTTAATTTATTAAATTGTAATCAATTAAAATATGAATTAATAAATTATTTAATTAAAGTTTATTTTTAAATAATTTATTATTTTTTAATTTTTTTTTTGTTAAATTATTATGAATTTTCTTTTTTTTTAATAAACTAACTATAATATTTTTCCTTCATTTTTTAGAATGTATTTATTATTTTCAGGTTGAAAAAGCAAATATTGTAATAGAAATTTTGAAAGAATTATTATTTTTAATATAATGTTTGATTTTTTTTTTATTTAGAAACAGTTTGATTTTAATGAACGTTGCACTCAACTAATTAAACATCACGTAACTTAAATCTTTAATTCTACCGATCAGCGAATATGTAAAAAGTACAATATAATGAATAAAAATATTAAAATTTTCTCTCTTTTTTAATGAATATTTTATTATGATTATTAAGTAAAAAATGATTAAGTTTTATTAGAGGTAATGAATTAATAAAAAATATTTAGAAAAGACTTTATTTTTTTTTCCAAATCTTTCAAACTTCCTACTTAGCAATTCTTTATATAGTTGTTGACTCTCTCTTAATAAATGCATTGCAATATTATACAATTTTATGTTTATACTAATTAAATAATATATAATGCAATTTAATTATTAATTAATAATATATATAAATTACTTTAACAATTATTAGATAATTAAATAATTTAATGAATCTATATCATATTATATATTAATTTTATATTTAAAATAATATAATACTTGACTAATTAATAACTAATAATGTTATAGGGCTGTCTCTTATACACATCTAGATGTGTATAAGAGACAGATATTTTTTTACATACATAAACTTAAAATAAGATTACAAATATATATAAGAACTAAGTATTATGAAACAAAACTACTTTTCTAAAGAAAAAGTCAACCTGTTACCTAAATAATCATATCACCGTTAAAAACGATGATACAACCTAAATTCTCAGGTGACTGTCAAGATCTGCTTAAAAATTTGTCCAGTAACCACTCCAATGGAATGCTAAATCATTCCATTTGTTCTGATTAGTCTCATTATTAAAGTTTACTACATGAACGTTATTATCCTCACATTTCTTATACTTCAACTTCATTTTTTTTATTATACTACTAATATTACATCTTTTCTCTTTTTCCACTTGTAACTCATTCCTATATTCTCAAATTAATATCTTAAAATCTAAAATTATTTTGCTAATTATTAGTTTTAATATTTTTTCAGCACCTTTGTATCTGTTATTATATATAACTTCAATAAATCAACCAATTGATGACTCACTTGATTTTTTAATAAAAATGTAAAATCATATAAACTATTAAGATCCTATATATCTAATGTTTCAACTTTACATTCAACTTAATGTCTATCTAAATCTTTTTTTGAAATTTCAAAAATTATATTCATTAAAAATAATTTAAATCCTTTAATTATATACTGCACGACCTCTTGAATTTTATCACAATTAATTTTATATTTACTTTTACCATTTGGACATCTTTTTTAATAATAATCTAATTTTTCACAAAAATCGTATTTTCATTATGATCTTAATATTATACCATTATTATTATTCTATTGAATGCTAATTTGATTTGTAATATTATGTATTGCATTTTTCTCTGAAGTCTTTATAGTACTTTTTATTCTTTTTTTACTTGAAGACATTGAAAGTTAATACTAGCAGAATCCCAGATAATTATAATAGAGATCATATGTAAATAAATATAAAATTTTATATTTTTAATAAGTAGGTTATATAAAAAAATGTATATTTTATATATTTTAAAAAAATATTATATTCAAAAATAGTAAAATATAAAAATAGATTATCAAACACCGGTCATATCATAGATCAGACATAAGGACTTTTTTACTATAAAATCTGTGTAACAGTAACTTTTTGCTCCATCCCACATAATAATATATACTGAAATTTTGCACATAATTCAAAATATTTAAAGTCTTTATAAGTCAATTTTTATTGAAATTGGATACATATTGAAAAATTTTTATTAAAGATGACTTTTACATTTTATTTAATATATAAAAGATTTTTAAATTTGAAAAATACTTATTTATTATTTGATTACAATATGTAATTTACGTCAAATATTCTTTTTATGCTATTAAAATTAAATTTATACATGTAATTTTTACAATATTAATATAGATAAACTACATAAAAAAACAAAAATCATGAATTTAATAAAACTTTTATTATCAAACCAACCTTCTCCTCACTAAGCATTTCGATTTCTTGTAAAAATTTACATATATTTAAGTACTTTAAATAATTAGTTCTTATACAAATTTGCATTTGGGTTGAAATCAAAAAAGTAGGAAAAGTTAACCTAATATAAATTTCTCAAATAAGCATTATTTTGTTAAATAAAAGGTTGAAACAAGTAGGTAAAAATCTGAAGAATAAAAGTTTACTAAGGTTTATAAAGGTTTTACTTAAGAGAAAACTTTGTAACATTTGTGACTTTGTGCAGATCATTTTTGCAATACAATTTTTTAATTAGTGATTGATATATCATATAATATAACCACTGAGTGTTATAGTAAAAAAAGTATAAAATTTCAGATAAAAATTCAAGATCATATATAAATTTAATATAAAAATGTATATTTTAACAGTTAGTATTTTGCTTTATATTTATTGTACTTGTTAGTGCTTCGATCCGGATGAAAACTTGAATATTTTCATGTGACGATTATGGCTGAGAAAGATTATGAATTTCAGATTTAAACAGACTATAATTTAAACCAACATTAAAGTATTATTATCCCAAAAATTTATACTAATTCTGGCCAAACTCATAGTGCCAGCGAAATTTAATGAAATTCAATCCGGATGAAAATCCGGATAAAACCGCTATGGATCGAAGCACTAGTACTTGTAATAATTTTACCTGTTAAATTACAGGTTTTCATTAGTAAAGATCTTGATTTTGCAACACATAAAGAAAAAAATTTATTTTAAATTTTTTTTTTTTTTTCTACTCTCTTTAGAATAGTATAAATTCTAAAATTATAAGTAGGAATGGTAGAAATTTCATTATTTTTATATTTACTATTTAAAATATATAATACTTTTTTCCCTTTTCCTTTTTTTAAAACAAAACATTCTAGATATTAGTACAGATTTTTGAAATTATAGATATGAAAAGATTATAAATATAAAAATATTATTTCTAATTTTTTTACTGTTTTTATATTTTTTTTATTTATTAATATTCTTTTTTTTTAGGAGTAAACTTGAATTTCAAGAAATCTTAAAATCACAAATAGATATAAGTTTCTTTTTTCTTTTTTATTTTGAAATTATTTTTTTTTATTTAAGGATAGCTTTTCTTTCTTTTATTTAAAGATATTTTAACTTGAACTTTGGTATTGATTTTAAAATTGCAATAAATATCTCTTATATTAGTATTTTTTTTTGATTTTAAAATATTATTAAAGGACCGATCGCGACTCAATAGGTGAAATTTATTAATTACGATTTATGCAAATCTTTACCGAAAATGGCTAAAACTCCTATTTTACCAGATCGTCGTCTCATCATTTGATATAATATGCAAATTTTAAATACAGTAATTAATAATGTCGATCCTAACTAAGCCACTTGAAGAGTTTGAAGTCGCCAGAGTTCCACGTCTTCGATTTTACTATGGAAGAACGTAAGATTCTGACCATATATTTTCGGCTATTTCAAGCTTTAAATAAATTATTTTTGAGCAATTTTAACCAAAATCGGTTAGTTTTAGATTTTTTTTTTGGGTTAACCCTATATATAGTTTATTTAGGTATCGTTCTTTTATTTTATTTTTTTTTTAAAACATACTGAGCGGTGTTTAATCATAAACATTTACTTTCTACCAGTTTATTTATTATATTATAGTGCGTTATTTACCATATTTTCTGTAGCTTTTTCCTTGAACGTTCGTGCATAAGCTGAGATCCAATTTTGTATTTTTTTTATCTTAGGGATGTTTTCAGCTTTCAATTCACCAGATTCAACAAATGTCAGCAGTTCATTATACATATCTTTTGCTGACATCTTATCCTTTTGATTAAGATTTCCATTCAAAAAAAAACTTTTCAACAACTCCTTTACCTGCTTTGTCATTCTTTTTCCCTTTCCTTTTCCCCCTACTTTTTGATTGCTTTTTAGTGCCCATCCCATAGGAAATTGAAAATTCATGTCAACAGAACTAATTCAATACAAATCATGTAGGTTTATAATTTGAATTATGTTTGTTTAAGTTTCACATCTATTTACCTTACATCTTCTAATTCACCATCACCATTATTATTATTATCCATGAATTCTGGTATGCTAGTTGTATCTATATATAGAAAATTATTAGTCAAATGTTATGATGAAAAAATTTTATTTCAATCAATCACCTAACAGAGGAATTGTCCAAGTTAATTCAGGTTCAGTTTGTTCAGAAATCTTTGGATGGGGACGAATAATTGGTTTGGTGCATAGTTTGGCAATTGCAGCAGGAGAAAAATTATTCCATGGACCAAAATGTGGAAGTGATTGGGCACATACATAACCTGTCATTTCGCCAGAAATTGGCCATTTCCAGTAAAACAAATTTGAAATAACTTTTATAGTTTTGACATTGGGCTTTGAATTTTGTTCTTTTTTGCTAATATTATATATTTTTTTATCTTCAGGTTCAAATTGACTTCGATTTGGTTCTAAATTTGCCAGTGATGTACCAGCTAAATATTTAGCTGCTTCCACTATATTCTCTCCATCACGAATATCATATCCAATCCGAATATATCGTTTGATTGAATGGGAAATCTAAAAAGAAAAGGTAATTTTAATATGAAATTTATTGCAATGACTATAACAATAATACTTACTGCAGCATGATGCGAATCAATAGTTGTTTTAGCTTCGCCTAGTTCAAGAAATTGCCAATCACGAACCTCAATTTGATACCACTCATTCCAATGTGCAACTATAGCCATAAGTTCTGATAAATGGTAATGTGCACCATTATCTGAAAT